TATATATATATATAAATTATAATTTTAATGGTTTATGTTAACATCTTTAATTAGTTGTAGATTTACCAATTAATTCTTGTTCCCTGCGCAGTTCTTGCTCACGTTGTTGCTCTTTATTCATCGCTTGCTTTTGCTTAATTTGTTGCAAACGTAACACACGTTTCTGTAATAAATCTTTTTTATATGACATTTGAAATTATGTAGCACATGTTTTGGATATTTTATAATAATTCACCTTTAATTTAGAAGTCCTTTCATGAATATTAATCATTTCTTTTCTTATCACTGCTAATTTTCCTTGATAAATTTTAATAGTTGAAAACTTTAACATATAATAATACTTTTATGTAATTTTTCTGTTATAAGCTAGAAATATTAATATTCCAAGTTCCTTATTATGAAAAAAAAAAGAATCCTACCATATCATTTAAATCTATATCTTCGAATGTCTCGTGTATCTTTTTATTCTCAAGTTGCATTCGAGCGAGTAGAGTCTCCTGCTTATTTCTATAAGCAAAATGATATATAACACAAACAATTAAGACAAAATTTTCATTTGTGTTAATTGTTTATATACTTACGTTAACTCAAAAAGTTCATGCTTAACTTGTTCTAATGGAGGTTGATAAATACTCAAAAGACCTTCTGCCAGTTTTTCTACAGCTTCCGAAAAATCTACTTCGCTATCTTCGCTATTAAAGCATAAAGAACGCTCTTAAATTATAAAATGTATCATTATCAATGAATAATGTATCAATAATAGATTGTTAGATATTGGCAAGAAAAAGAGAAAAGATAAATTTCGTCACAAAAGAAAACAAATTTCATAGTTGCGTTGTAACAAATGTACGTTATTTTCTACTGCTTCCGCTAATATCAAATTTTAATATTTAATTATAAAAACTCCACTGACAATGTTTCCTTTGAAATAAATAAAAGATAAACTGCATGATGCAATGTAAATCTTTAAGAATAGGATAAGCTATTTATCAATTAACAATATATATTGCTTAAAGAGAACAATATATATTGCTTGAATCGTACAGATTAATTTTTCCTAAAGTTGATATAAACAGAAATATGAAGAGGTTACCTCGATTGTTTTTCGGTTTTTAATTGAATTTCTGCTGCTTCGATTTCTCCCACATCGGTCATCATGTTTACAGTCACTTTCTTTCTACTTCATTCGTGATTATGCATGTCAAACGTGACAGTTCGCATTAAAAATGTAAAGAAAAAAATGTAATAGGAGATAGAATTTGACAGCTTGTCAACACATCCATGTCAGCTGATTTCCAGCATGTGATTGGTCTATTTCTCTACGCGTTATGCATTAGGCGGTTATTTAAATTTGAACGACGGATTTGCCTTGATTTTCCCTTCAGATTTTTCGTTTTTAAACAGATGACGACTTGATTGAAAGTTGTCAAAGTTAACAGTCGTTTCTAAACTGAATGGCAATGATATTTAATGCAATGTCTGATACTTCTTAAATAATTAATATGACGGCGCGCTCAATTTTACAAGGTATTAATTTATTATATTATATTTGATTAAGGCATAGACGCAGTCAGAATTTTTTCAAGGGAGGGAAATTTATCAATTCTATTAACACATAAAGAGCAATTTTTGTGTTAACGAATTTTAGATATTTTGAAGCTTGGAATATCTCCTTATTCCTGATTTTTAATGAAAAAAAATATTAGATTTTGTAAATCATAATTATTACCTTTTTTTTTAATTTTCAAGGAAAGTTTGAACTCTCTAAACTCTTTCCCCTTACGCCTATGAATAAACGATTAAAATCGAGATATTTCTTTTGTTAAAATTAGCAACAAATATATATATATATATATATATATATTATTGAATGACATATAATTTTAAAATGGCATTTGCAGTTTTCGATCAATATCAGAAAGCGAGATTGCTCTTCGTACAATCTGTTGCGGATTTGTCCTCAAAGCCAAGCAACATCGATTGCCTAGAAGCGGCGGGAGTGATAGACCTCTTACGTCCTTTATTAACGGATGCTGTACCACCCATTCAACATATGGCGGCAATTGCTCTGGGCAAGCTAGCGAATCACAATCCCAAATTGGCGCACGCCGTTATTAGAAAAGATATATTATCGCACTTGCTGAAGAACATAGACAAACAAAATGTACGAGCTCCTTAAATGTAAGCATTTTGATCGTGATAGAAAATAAGTCCGTAGCAGTCGTATCTCCTCAGATTTCTTCCTCGGGAAACTTAGTTCACAACAATCTCTCTCGCGGATCTATATCTTTTATATTATAAATATTTTAAGAAAGATACATTGTTACAGAAATGTTATAAGAAAGCGGCGCTTTTCGTCCTGCGAGCAATAGCCAAGCATTCGCCGGAATTGGCGTTAATAGTGGTACATAACGATGGCTTGCAAACAATAGTCAGCTGTTTGGAAGATTTCGATCCTATAGTAAAGGAAGCAGCTGCGTGGGCATTGGGATATATCGCAAGACATAATAAGAATTTGGCTCAAGCGGCAGTGGATGCTAGTAAAATTCCTCTCGATCAACGTTTTCTTCCACTAATTAAGAAAGATGATAAAACGCTTTGATCGATAAAACATTTTGCAATTTAATTGTTATATCCTTGTCAGATGCGGTACCTCTCTTAATACTGTGTTTGCAAGAACCCGAATTGTATATTAAACAAATCGGTGCGTCGGCTATTAGCGACATAAGTAAGCACAGTATTGAACTCGCGCAAGCAGTGGTGGATGCTGGAGCAATCTTCTTCCTTGCGAAAACTCTGGCCAATCTCGATGCCAAGGCAAAGGTGATTTTGATGTGACAATATATTTTGCGATATTAGAACGTTTTATATAACGAGCCGAATATAATATCTGCAGCGTCAGGCGTTATTAGCATTGAGCAGTATAGCCAAACATTCTGCAGATTTGGCAGAGGCTGTGCTTGAGACAGGAATCTTTCCAGACGTTTTGGTACACATGGCGCATCCGGATGAGAACGTCGGTAGAGTCGCAGCGATTTTAACTAGAGAGATCTGCAAACACACATTTGAAGTATGGAAACGACAATAATGATAGATAGTCCTAATAAATGTGATCAAACTTTGTAATACAAATTTTCAGTTGGCGCAGCTTATAGTAAACATTGGAGGTATCGCCGCTCTTATCGAATTAATTAACACCTCCAAGTCGGCAACCAGATTACCGGCAATCATGGCACTCGGTTATATTGCCGGTCACTCCGATCAACTGGCCGTGGCTGTAATAGGATCCAAAGTAATTAAAAAATTAACTAGAAACATGCGATTTTCACACAATTCACAATTTAGAGAAATAAATGCCATGATTCACGATTGATTACTTGGTGCAGGGTATCGTACAATTAGCGATTGTATTGCAAGAGGAAACGGAAGATCATATTCTTGCGGTAACCGTCTGGGCTATCGGACAAATTGGCAAACATACATCTGAACATGCGAAAGCGGTTGCAGTTGCAAACATATTGTCCAAGATATTGGAGGTATTCGGTTATTCAATCGGCGATTCTCTTCATCCATATTAGCCAATATTCGTAATCTTGACAATTATAATTTCATTAGCTGTATAACAATCCGAAGAGTTCCGAAGATCTCAAAGCGAAGTGTTACACTGCGTTAAAACAAATCCTGCAGAAATGCATGCATGTCGAAGCTCTCGAATCCCTGTTGCACAACGTGCCTCCCAATATCCTGAAATATATATTAGGACAATTTAGTAAGGTAAGATTTTATAATTTAATTGAGAAAGCTAACTATTCTAACGATTGTAATAGTACTACGATGAAAAAAAAACGACATATTCAAGAATTTATTAAACATAATATGAATACTTTATTTTGTGTGTTTCACATACACATTCCTTGTGTGATACACTCTAACGATACAAAGTGATAATACAAATTTTTTCTCATCCAACACAACGCATTTAGGACATAGTTGCTCATTACAAAAATCACATAGAACCTGGACAATCAAATGCGAAATATAGCTCCCTTTTCTTTTATTATCAACAAAGGTCTCATTTCTTACAATTAGTAAATGTTTACGTTGCACAATACGTAAATAATCTATGCAAATAATCTGACGAAGCTAACGTACAGATTTTTGCTACTACTTAAAAATTGGTCATAAGCAGCTGCGCGAATATTTTTTATTCTTTTCGGTTTGTGGAAACTACTATGTCATAAGATACAGACTCCAAGCATATTTTGGTAGTTCCGAAGAATATTTCTAACATATTTCTACCGTTGCGTATGTATATGTAAGAATTTCTAATACATACATACACACACACACACACACACTCAATTGCAATCGCTTAAGTAACTTTATATTTTGCAGATTCTCTGATCAATATTCGCAGCCATTTTATTTGCAGTCTGATTATTTCAAAAGCAAAACAATCTTTTCGATAATGATACGCATGAATTTCCACATCATATTACATTTAAATTTATAACAATTCAAAAATCCATTTTCCTTTTTTCGTTATTCTGCTTCTTTTCTATCGAGCATTTTTTCTAAGATAATATGGCACGTTTAATGTTCCAAAAGAGCACATGTTTCAGTCTTACAACAACGAGTGGTTCGGCTAAATACAGAGAAACACCTTTGCCTTATTAAGTAGAAATTATTTAAAAATTGTTTAAATATGCCTTAGGAAATTGTTAAATGTACGATTGTTTTCCAAGTTGCTCTCGTTAATTTATTCTCGTTAATCTTATCGTGATTTATTCTCTAATGGCAGTATCTAATATAAAAACACAAATTGTACGAAGATTCAGATATAGAACAAAGAATAATCAAATTAACAAATGTTGATGATTATTTAATTACAATAATTAATCGATAAAAATAGAAAGAACATTAACATTTTGAATAATAAGGCATTGATTCGATATTCGATTAGTTCATATCTATAATACAAATCTTATACTGTTACATATGCCCTCAATTACGTATCTCTAATTAATATTAAGCTCGTTAACAATAACACAGACAGTAATTTCAGTATACATTACGATGTTGACTGATTTGATGGTCTGTTTTGGATTGTATAACAATAATCGTTTTTATTTTTAGTCAGAATGTTCTAAATTCTACAAAAATTACTCTCTGTCTCTCTCTGTCTCTCTCTCTCTCTCTCTCTCTATCTGTCTGTATTATAAAAGCGCAAAAACTTTAGCATTACTTTTAAACCCCATAAAAAGTAATACGTAACGTAAATATTTTAACATGGAACATGTGAGACGACGCATATTTAAAACGTGAAAATGCAGTTATATAATATATGGCGAAATGCAGAAAAATACAGCGATTTTACCAAAACTTTTGATGTGTTTCGAATCTTAAAGCAATTAATGCATATATCCGGCTCAGAGCATGCAACCTGTCCAAATATTTCTGTAAAACAAAAAATAATTATTTAATATAGACATTTTCTTATGATAAATACTAAAAATTCACTGTAAAATTTAACACATATAAAAAGATTATATATTGTATATATATTGTATATATTGTATATCTAGTCTATAAAATGGTATTAAAACCAATGACGAGATTTTAAAAAATGTGTTAATTGGAATTGATTTTTCGATTGAAAAATTTTGGTATGTTTATAGAGGAAATTATTTTTTTTAAACTTTTTTCTGCATTTTTATAACAGTTAAAATGTTTCCATACATGTATATATAAGAATTTCTTTTCTATTTAGGTAAGCTTTTCAATTGGCAGTTTTCTTTCATTGATCTTGTTATATAATCAATAATATGTAACAAAGAAAATCTTTCTTTGGAACAATTTGTATAACATATTAAAAAAGTAAATTGAAAAATTTTAATGTAAAAATTATTCAAACGAAATTTTTTAATATTATTATATAGATTTAATTAATCACAATTATCGAATTGTTGGACAATTAACTATAACATAATTAAGGATGAACATTCGCAGCAATATTATACAGAATAAATATTTTTATACATAGTTTAAAATCGACATTATGATTATCATTTAATTGATATCTTAAGAAATTTCTACAATTTCTTTACTTATTTACAGAAGTCTTCTCATGTTACGCAGATGCTCTACGATTATTTTAAAAAAGTTATATTTAAAAAAATATCTAGTTGCAATTTGTTAGAATGTATAAAAAGAAAGAAAGAAATATATCGATAAAGCGTATTTTTATACTCAAATTACACCTTAGGATATAAATTCTCCTTTACATTAATCAATTAACTTACTGATTAACTGATTAACTAATCAATTAATCCGGCAATAGTTTAATTTATTCGTCTGTTTCGTCATTGGGTTTAATGCTAGCATAATTGTTCATATTTCTATTCACCCTTAACATTTTAAGAAAACTGCCTAATACCAATATAGTTTTTCTGTGCCTCCTAAAGATTCCAGCGTACAATTCTTCGCGTACATCTCTTCTGTCACTGACATCAGAGTCAATACTCGATACCGAGACAACTGAAGGCTTAGCCGAGACTGGTTGATGATAATTATTGGTCTCACCAGTATTAAGAATCATACAATGCTGATTATTTATCATTTTGGTCACCTCGATTCTGGCCCTTTTTACTTTAAATAAACGCGCTTCTTCTTCACTCCTCTTTTTAATACACTATTTGCACAAATTTATAATCGATAAACTTCACAATTTATCGAAAATATAAAAATCTAATTTTCCAGATACTCTAGAAAAGTTTTAAGATTGCAGTAAACTTTTAATAAATTCGTTTTTAGGCAGTACTAATTTCTGTCGCGTGATCTCGAGAAAACTGATGTAGAAACTTCGCAGAAGAGATTTTATAGATATGCTAGTGTACACACAAAATGCATAATGTAACTTGTTGGAGTATAGTGATAAAACATTTCTGTTTTTACGTCATTCAAACTGTCAGTTATCTTGAAAATTTAAGGCAGTTATTTCGTTTTGTTGTCTCGGTACTTTATGTACTGAGCGTTCGCAATTACACAGTAACACAGTAAAGCGATACGTATTACGAAAATAATAAATTATAACAATATTTCCTAATGCTTAACCCAAATACAAGTTACACTAATTTCGTATAGCTCTGTATCTTATTGATGTCTTTATAAAATAATGTTTACATGTGGACGCGTAATTCTTTTCAAATACATTAATTCACTCGCAAACGTTTAAGAAGATGTTTCAATCCAAATGTAGTTTTAATACAGTGTAAATTAAGTACGAATATGATCGTCAGTGATTTTTGGATCGATCCAATAGTCCCTTTTTAACTGCGACGAGGATAAAATCGTGCGATAAGTAGTTTTGATACTTTATCATGAAGTATGATGATGCAATGGGATGAAAATGCACGTGTCGCAATGTCTTCCACTACACATCAATGGCGTAGTTTCACTGACAATCCAACGTCAAGCGACAAACTGTAAACAGATGAGAACGAGTGATATAAATTTAAATAAATAACACGCACAACGCGAGACGCAAACGCGAACGGTCGCAAAATATTTTCGAAAGATCGAGACGCAGCATTTTCACACATTAAGAAGACATATAATAAAAATGCTATTTACAGATTTATTTTTTATATATCAACATCTCGCAAAATATGAATAAAAAAAAAACAATCAATCAACATCATAAAAACATCGTGATAAAAAATTAATCATGTCAAGGATAGAAATGATTTTTAATTTTGATAATATGATAACTTAGTTGAATTTTTGCATATATTTTTGCATATTCGTACTTTTCTTTTACGCAATCTTTTATGTCACCTCTATTATTATCAAAATAGAAAACATCTCTTAATTTTCTTGACTTATATTGATTCATCATTTTTATTTTTCTTAAACTCCAAAGTTTAAATATTTTTTTGACACTACACACCCTATATACATTGTGTAGATATATGGGTATAAATTCTTTGAAAACTGTGTACAGTGTATACGCGCTCTATGATAAATACTGCGTCAAAATTGTTACTATTAATAATATGTTTACGAAATTCTATGTTTGCGGTGAAGAATGGGTCAAAGTTTTACGCAGCTTCGTTTTCTCAAAATTAAGAAAATTTATCACTATCGAGTTTTTATTTCCTTAATTTTTCATTTTATTTTATTCTTTAATTTTGTTTAAAAAAATGTGACTATCTGATTTCTATTCGAAAATCAGAAACACAACAGCGCAATTGTAAAATTTCATAGGTTTTGATTGATGATGCGACTTTTATATAAGACAAAATTAAAAATAAAATGATATAGATTTATCATTATATACTTTATATATAAACAAAATAATACACACATGGAAAGTTTGACAAAATAAGTGTTAATAATAGAAGTTCATGTACATCAAGAATTTATTTCTTTTTTTTAATGAAAATTTATTTAGTCAGATCACGTTCATTAAATCGTAACTTTCAACATCTTATAAATTGTACTTAAAAAATTTATATTATAATGAGACCATTCAAAGTTAATAAGAAAAATAATTTTTTATCTATTCTTATTTTTTAATTAATTTAAGATATATACGTGCATACGTATTATATATCTCTTCTCTTTCATTTCTTCCTATAATAAATAATTTTCTAATTCTAAAGAACTTGATATAAAATTGATTCAAAAAAAGTTTGATAGGGATAGAAGATCTGTATTATCTTTTTTAAGCTGTTCTATGTACGCAACAAAGTATTACTTTATAGCTCATAGCTTTATAGTCATTTTGATTATCGATGACACCAAAGATAGATTTAATACATGAAGATTCGATTGAAAAAACAAAAGTCTTGACTGATGAGTCAGAATTAGAATGCAAACATGATGAGTAATGTGCCATGCATCCATGAGAACACATATATAGTTGTGAGACATTGAATGATAAACATTAAATCAAATAAAATAAATTTCAAAATAGCCATTTAGATTTACATTGATATATACTTTAAGTAAAATTTTTTCTTCTTCACTTTTTATTCATTCTGCTTCTGCGTTAACTTTTTCTCAGATTATGTAGTTAGATGTGAGAATTGAAATCATTAAATATTTCTTTATACAAGTAATGCAAGAAATGTAAAATAATATAATTATCCTTATTTAAAAACTTTTTAAATTTTAATAAATTTGAATTATGAAAATTGTGCAAATACACAAATAAAAATCTAATTATGCAGCATTTTGGAAATGTATGAATTATAGATAAAACAAAACATTTAAGAAAATATATATTGAATGAACAATTGACGAAAAACGTAGAGTATATAATAAATTTTGTTTCTTAAATTTTATTTTATTTTTATAATTCACATTTCTTAAGAGATATCAATGCTATCAATAATTATTATCCAAAGAAGAGGTTGCATAATTGGATTTGTATTTATGTAGGACACACCCATACATGTACAAATATAAATGCACTAAAGTTAATAGTTATTGCAAATATTTATATATATTCCAAATATAATTTTAACATAAAGTATATCTCCTTTGTCTTGCATTAATTTACGCATTCGTCGCGAACTGCTGCATAAAAAAGTCTAGAATACATTCTCAGATAATGATGAAGGTCAGGTTTCAGAAGCCTTATTCTTGGTATATTACAACATATGATACAGTGATGTCTAATAATGTTGTGTGTCTTATATTATATCTCTGATTCTACATGTTTTTGATAGAGTATTTTTGCATACAAAGCCATAACGACACAAGTACTAATTATGAACTCGAGTGTTTCATTATAAGAAATGAGCAATACAATTCTGTAGTAAATAATTTGTTTGTTTTTTTGCAACTTATTTTTTCAATTTCAGTAGTAATGTTACATTTTTGCATACAGATTTTGCCAAATGATTCAAGGGCAAGAAGACTATTTGTAACATCTGGTGGTTTAAAGAAAGTGCAAGAGATTCAAGCAGAACCTGGTACTACGCTTTCAGAATACATAACAATTATCAATTGCTGTTTCCCGGAAGAGATCGTCAGGTTGTCTATCTTTTATACATTTCTCGTTTAATTAGACAAAAATAACAAAATAATTCTCTCGCAAAACAATTCTACAAAATCTTTTTCCATCAGATCTATTTGTCAAAATCATTCAAAAATGACTATTATTTATTTTCCTATATTAAATCTATTTTATGCATTCAGAAATTCTTTTGAATAATTTTCATTCAAAAATTCTTTGATATTCTTTCTCTTACTATAGTCAGTTCATTAATTTATAATTAACTTCCTAAGCAATATACGATATAGTCGGTTCATTAATTTATAATTAACTTCCTAAGCAATATACAATTCGTAAAAACGTATCGCAAAGTGGCTTTTACATTTACATATATATAAATAGAATAAAAGCCTATCTTAAAAAAAAAACAATGACAAATTTGTGATACACAGTGGACGCTAATAGAATTAATTACTCTCTTGATTGTTACGCATAACCTTTTTTTCGTCGCTGTTGTTAAAGTACTTACAACAGGTTGTTATAACACTTGAAGGCAAGCTCTCGCGTTTTATTAAAAATCCAGGCCAATATGTGTCGTTTACGCTGCCGACGTATAGGAATAACTGCTCTGACTCTGTTTTCGGATCCCTGTGTCTTAATTTAAGTCGACCGAGCGATAAACAGCATGCCCGCCATGTTGTCACAGCTGATTGCCGATTTCGAATATGCAGAGTGTGTATATGCGTGCTTTTCGAGAGGATCAATAAATCGTCCCGATTTCTTATTTTCGCGCGTAACTAAAATCGAATTAATAATTTCTTCATTTTTCTGAACAACTATCCATACGCGAAAAGTCTGGCTTGTTTATTATAACTCTGCTTGTCTTTTTTCTTTTTCTTGGTAATCCGTCTTAATCTGCGCATCAGTCGATAAAGAAGATAACATCCCAATTATATGCAATCGAAAAAAATGTCAATCTGATGTATTTAGTTCATGATGTGACAAAGTTGATTGCACTGAGTTTTTTTTTACAAATTTTTTTGCGTATTTTTTGGCAATCGATCGATTATACACACGCATACATCCGATCGGTATTCTTCTCTTCTTTCCTTTTTTTCTTACCAAACGTCTTATGTAGCATAAACTTTGCAGCAGTACTACATGTTGCAATATTGCAAGATTGCAAGCGAATATTGCTGCAAGATTTGTGGGGTGTATATGGGATATTTCTCATAGATACATGCAATTGAATAAACGTAATCTTTTCGTTTCTTAAACTTGCGTATCATCGATTATTGCAGGTACTACTCGCCCGGTTATCCAGACAGTCTTCTGGAAGCTGTAGAACAATATCAGCCAAAGTGTCTTTTCGTTTTTAATCACAAGTCGTCATCCGAAAACCTGGGTTCCAGTTTGCCTGCGTCGCTTTACAACGATGAGAAATAAGATTCTAAATTATTTCTACCATATTCCCTTTACAAAACGAAAAATATTATTTATTACGCGATTTAATAACGAATGTAATTATATTTTTTATGTTGATTCCCATATAGTACAAATTTTGCAACGATATTGCTGCAATATAACTACAAGATCTGTGCTGTATGGGTTGAATATATACGTCAATGTAATTTTAAATTTTAATATTGAAATATCATTGTTGTACTTCATTTACTAGGCAATAATTGCCTAAGGACAAGATTTTTTTTTTTATTTAATTGTAAAACTTTGCCGATCGCATGATTGATACAAATTATCAATTCGGAAAATAGTGAAAGTCTATATTATTCATATTATATTATTCTGCTTGAAAGTCTATAATATTATTCAATTCGTAAACATAGCATGAAACACCAGAAAATTATGGCGTAACATATTATCGACTGAAAACATAGTTCAATTTGTCATTAATTCGTTTTGATGAACAAGATGGCCATTCTGAGTAGTTTTCAGATCCCTCTCTATCTTTCCATGTGCTCGTGAAAAAGGTTATATAGGAAATAGTAAAACGATTTAATTAAATCATTGAATTTATTTATATTCAAAAATTATAGTTTTTTATTTGTTTGAGTTTATTTTATTATCGACTAAAAAAATATGAATAAAGAAACTAAACTCGGAAAAACTCAGCGAAAAGTTTTTAAGCGTAATCGAAAAGATGACGAGGAGTCTACTTCGGATAAAATTAAGAAGCATGCAAAGTCGAAAGTGTTGTATAATCGAAGATATATGGCACCTTTGAAGAAAAACGGAAAAATGAATATGATCCTAACGAAGAAGCTAGGTATAACTTATAAAAGAACAATAATTTTTTTTAATATTCTGAAAAAATGTTTAACAACATATTTAATTTGCAGATTAGAAAGAATCGTTTTTGGCGATCCTAGTGATATTATAAATAATTTACTCAATGATGAATCCGTGATCAAGGTAAAAAACGATTCCATTAATGTTTGCGATGAAAAGGTTATAGATAACAAGGATAATGAGGATGATAAGAACTGTGAAAGTACCGAAGATAAATCAGATGAGGATATTTCAGTTTTAAGTCACAACAAGAATGCAGAGACAAAAAAAAAGAAAGCAGCATGGATAGACGATGATGATTGTAATTACACGTATGTAAAACGATCTTTAACAAAATATTTAATACTAAGTGTTTTCTTATTACATGAGTTTTATATTTTCTGATAGTATGGAAGCAGCTTTAAATGCACAAAATCGTAAATTACCATGTGAAAGATCAGAAAAATTATATACAACATATTTGGAGAACAGATATAAATTGTTTGTGGGTACTCCTAAATGGGCTGAACTTGTAAAGGAAGATAAACCTGATGGCGATGATTCGGATAATGATATCTTGAAGGTACTTTAACATATCAAAATTTTTTTTAACTTTGAATTTAATCTGAATATCATTTTTTATATTTAGCATAGTTGCCATTTAGAGGCACCAAAGATAAAAAATTTACCGAAAAATATCATTGACATCAAAGTACTCAAAGCTTTGAATAAAAGTACTCATACAGAAGGTCCTATTATTACTAGTGTAGAATTTCATCCAACATCCACAGTAGCTCTAGTTGCTGGTACATCAGGTATCTTATCCCTATTTCAGGTAAATTAAATATATAACAAATTATTTTGATATATTAGATAAGAGATATTATTTTCATATTACTTTTTAGATATAATTTTCATATATTATAATCAAGTTATTAGATTGTTTATTATTGATTGTTATTAATACCTAATTTGTTTTAAAAAGGTGGATGGTCATACTAATGATAAATTGCATAGTATGCAATTTAAAAAATATCCTATTAGCAAAGCACTATTCATGAAGGAGGGAACAGAAGTTTTAGTAGGTTCCCAATATTATCCATATTGTCATACTTATGATTTAATGAATGGTAAAACGTACAAATTGCCTTTACCACATGGAATTACAAATATGAAGGTTTGTAACGTTACGATTGTCACGCATATTACAAATAGTTTTCCAGGTTAAAATTGCAATGTATATTTTGATATTTTCAGTATTATGAAGTATCCTCTGATGGTAAGTTAATAGCATTGTGTGGAAGATCGGGTGAGGTATATTTGTTGCATAGTTCTACTAAAGAACTTATCAGTGTGCTCAAGATGAATTCGAAATGTAGGACACTAACCTTTACGCCAGATAATAAAACACTTATCACGCACGGAGGTAAAGTGTCTTCTATATCATTTTTATTTTGATATACACTTTTCAATAAGACTTTCAAAAACATCCATTATATTTTTTTTCTCATTCAAATCGCAGACGGCGGCGAGATGTATGTGTGGGATTTGAATACTCGTACATGCATCAATCGTGCCGTAGATGACGGAAGTTTATCATGCACATCGCTTGCCGTTTCTCCAAGCGGTCAATTTGTAGCTACTGGTAGTGCACAAGGTGTAGTTAATCTCTATGAGACAAAAATGATATTGGAGGAACAAAATCCTATGCCTCTAAAGATAGTGATGAATCTCGTGACTAGTGTTACAAATCTGAAATTTAATCCAACTTCTGAGATATTGAGCGCGGCATCAGCGGACAAACATAATGCATTTAGAATGTTGCATATACCATCATTCACCGTATTTTCAAACTTTCCAACATTTCAAACCATAATAGGTATGCCGCAAGCAATTAATTTTTCTCCTGGCAGTGGTTACCTTAGCATTTCAAACAGAACAAATTCTGCTTTGTTATATAGATTAAGGCATTATGGAAATTATTAATTATATCCATAGAATTCTTGTGTTGTAAAATATACAGCATATACATTTATAAAAATCAGCATGGGATATATGAGATCGATGTATAATTATTCTATTATAAATATACTTCAACTTTTTTATATATTCTACTATCAATTATTTTATTATTTATTCTGTTATTAGTTTTTATTATTACAATCGATATTACAACAATCTAAATAAAACTATGCGAAATAGAAAGATACTATCACTATATTTTATATATAAACAGTATGAAATTATAAAATTTTTACATATTTAAAAAATAAAATTGTTCATGTTTTTAATTATAGTATCACATTAATTTATACTGCAGTTTCACATTCGTTTATGTAATAAAAAACTTATTTTATTTTTTTAAAGTAAAGTAACTATCAGTGTTTTTTTCACAGAGACTATTTTAAAAAAATAAGACATTACATTTAAATCATTTTTATTTCATGAAGATTTAAAAAAATTTTTTTTATAATATCTACCTTTATAAAAGAGGTTATATACATTTTATTGTGAAAATTCTTGTATAAAGTATAAGATTATGAATTAATTTTTTTTTGTTTAAATTTTGATCCATATACCCATTCAAATTGATGTTGAATTAGGCTTTTTTACATCTTTTGTATATAACATAGATTTTGTACGTACTGACTCTATATATACTTTACTGCACATCTAATTACATATTTTCTTGTATCTTTATTGATATATTTGTACTCAAAATATGAGAAAAAGATATAGACTTTGATAAATAGTTTTGGTAATAATCTAGAATAATTGGAAATATCTTTAGAAAATCAAGATAAATGATCAGTGAATAACATTCCTCAAAATATTATCAAAACATAATCTTTTTTTTAAGTTATAATATTTATCTTCATGAAATTGTGAGGATTGTCACTTTTGGTCATTTGTTGCTTGGACGTTCACATACATGCATATAGGATTGTATATGTATTTTTTTATGAAAAAAATCAAATATTTATAAACATAGATTTGATGAACGATAACAAGCCGGATAAATTTAAAATATAGAATTTTTTACGACTATCACGAATCACGACTAAGTCTTATATTTGTGATCCAGTTTGTTAAACTCACTAAATGATATATCATAAATAAATAAAATAAATAAGCTAATTCTTCAGTTATTCTTGATTTTATTTTATTAATTAATATATCGTCATAGTGAATATCACTTTAGTTAACTGAATCACAAATCGTAAAATCTTTTTTTAGTTTTATTTCTAGAGATATAAGAATTTCATATTCTGAATTTATTTACATTGTTCATTGCATCTTAATTCTATATACGCAAGATATTTTGTTTTGCAGGATTTTATGCATGTAATTAATAAACTCAATGATAATTATTACTAAAGAGATTCTTGTTCGAATTAAAGGGATTTAATTTTTTCAAATTAAATACTATATCTAATAAACACAATAGAAATTTAATTTGTATTAATATAGATTAATATAATTTTGTATTGTAATATATGTCAAGCCGCGAATTTCACATAATGATTGTGTATATATATTTGCAGATAATTCTTATTGCTCTTTTTTATTTTCTTTTATAAATTCCATATCTCAGAATTTAATATTCATTTAAACATATATACATACATATATACATACATACAATAATTTTTTTTTATAATCATTTTATAATATTATTAATCAATTTCGAAATAGACTATATATATGTGTATATATACGTATATATTTTTGCATGCGCGCGTCGCGTATGTATGTATCCTGTGTGTATGTGTATGCCTATGTGATGCGTATACACATGTGAAATATTTTTCTATTGTACATCTATATTTACATTTTTTCATTTACGTGCAACACAAACACCTCAAGTCTACGTCTCTTCCTTGAATTCCAATTTCAATGTTTCTACATTGGATTCTTCATTCTCTACATTCTTTTGGTGAATCGGTGTGAGAAACACTAGCTATTGGTCCGTTGTGGTTGTCGGGAGGGTACTCGTGTCTCCGTTGCCACTTTCTACTATGAGCATTACAGTCTCGGCTGCACCCCTCACACATTCTATTTGGTGACTTCCCCAATCTTTACGCTGACAAAATGTGGAACAGTATGGCGTACGTCTGCATAGAGAGCATTCTGCAAATGCTTCTCGATTACAATTGGCACACTGAAATTCATTATATAAATTTGTATTTTTTATTTTAATTATATTTATATTTATATGTGTAAAACAGAATCTTTCCGAACGATCAGTAAATATATGAAATATGTAACTCATAGATTTTTTTACTAAAAAATATTATATTTACTTAAATGTATGTTTTTACCTTTTTATTATGCGAATCAGACGCTGGTTGTAGTCCAACAGTTTCAATAACATCCGCTCGTCCTCCAAGTTGCGCGACCAATGCCTGCTCTCTTCTCTGTTGCCTATTTAACTCTTTTGCTTCTTCTAAAGTACGTCTAAATTCGTAAGCCAATTTCATCATTTTATTTGACATTTCATCTAGTTTTTTAAAAATATCATCGCCTTGACCATTTTCTGTTTGATGCGCATTCTGCACAACTGTGTCTTGTTCCTGGGACTGCTGTACAACTAGTCCATCCGTAGAAACAAATTGTGGCCAGACTTCTTTATCAGGTACTACAACTTCATCGCCACTCTCATCATTATTGCTGCCATCTCGCATATTCTCAATCTTATGTTTACGCGAAGGGATTTCTCCATCAGATGAATCCTTGGGTCTTTTTCGACGTTTGTATGGAGTAAACAGACGCACTGGTCCTGTCTAAATGGATAAATAATAATAATTTAAACTATACAATACGATACAATATACATACAACTTTAATTATAACTATAAAATAAAAATCTTTTTATATTGAACAAACATCAATATACATTCCATAACAAAATATGAAATTCAGTATTGAGTATTCAGTGATTCAGTGATTCAGTATCACAAGAAATCTGCTTACCGCACTGTCATCATCGCAACACGCTGCACAGGTGCAAGAAGTAGCATGTGGTTTCAGAATTTGTTCATCAATGAGAGTCTGCAAACTTCTTCCTCCAAATCGAATACTCCGTTTCCAATCTTTGCTGGATGCTCTACCACAGAGGGCCTCAAATTCACTAGGTGTGTACCACTCTGAGCCAAGTTTAATACACCGTCCTCTACCACCAGATCCAAATCTACTCTTGTGCAACTCTGCATTTGTGTTTTTACATCTGATAGGTAACACCGCCAAGTTTGCTGAATCTGACCAGCTGTATATTGGTTGAGAACTGGGTGTAGATACATGTATCTGTTCTGATTCGGTTTCATCCGTACTATTCTGGATCACTATGTGGGTTGCTTTCAGCTCACCATTCCAACGCAGGGGATCCGAATCTTTGTCATGACGAGGTTCACAAATAAACCCATTGTCGACGCATAGCATCTGTTTGAACTGCCCCGAACCTGGCAACTGCAAAAATAAATATTTTAAATACATAAAAGTTTCAATATAATATTGATTCTGCATTATTAATCAATCTAAAAAGCCAATATGGTTTATCTAAAGTATGGTTGCGATAAAATTATACTTTATGATTAATAAAGAAACTTTTGGAATCAAATAAATTTAAAAAATTAGATTATTCTAACTCAAATTGATCTTACATCAAATTATTAGAACAAGAAATCGAAAGTTCTTGAACAATGTATCTTGTCCAATATATATTTGTTATCCAAAAAATGCATAAAGACTACCTATTTTTTTCAACGATGTCAATAACAACAAAAATTAACAATATATTCAAAGTATTTAAAACTTTCCCAGAGTATATGGGATTTATAGTAGTAAAGTGAGAATTAATACGTTAAAGCTTATTAGAAAAGATTAAAATTTTTGTGAAAAATTTGCAGCGAATTAGAGGAGAGTGTGTCGTCGTTGATGGGATGGCACGTGCTTTGCGTCTCATAGGATACGACACTTTCCCGCCTTCTCGCACTATCGTCCACTATCATCGTGCACGGTAGACCGAAGAAAAAAAAAAAAGAAATCCCGCACTCGGGTCTCGATGGATTCGAAATTCGTCTTCGCGAGCAAATTTCTATCGAGACTGCGAATGTACCTGCAGTTGATCCGAGGTGATGACGTTGAAGGTCGTGCCATTGGTCGAGTTCGCTACACCGATGATGGAGCCCACGGGAAGAGAGACCGGTACGCCGACTCCAGAAACGCCCGGTACACCGGGTACCGTGGTAACACTCGCCGTAACCGCGACGGGATGTGCCTCGTGTTCGCTCGTCAGCGCGGCCGCCTCCTCGGTCTCGCTCGTCAACGATTCGGACATGTCCGGTAGCACGGCGACACTTTCCGATGTTTGGCTCTCCTCCATTTCGGCTGTTCTCGCCTCGCCTCGCCTCGTCTCGCCTCACCTCGCCTAGCCTCGTCTCCGCGCCTCTTCACCTGTCCAAGCTGGATTCGCCGCCGAGCATCGCCGAGAGTCGCCGAATGCGATTCGCTCGCGTTCGTTTGCGCAATGGCGTCGGCGCACGTTCAACGACGCGACGCCGCACAGTGGATCGACGCTTAACGAGCGCTTAAGAAATAGCGAACATAGAGCAAAAATATGATCTGTCGAAATTATCTCTTCTGACAATAAATTCTGATAATAAATTAGTTGTAAATTATTGTAATTACTTCAATCATTTGTAATATTTCCACAATTTGTAATATTTCCACAATTTGCATACAAATCTAGATAATGATATTAGTAGTAAAAGAAAGCAAGTACACATATTATATGCATACTTATGATACGAATTAGACATATAATTTATAAACGATTTTTAGAGAAAAAGATATAGTCTACAATGAAATGAATTAATAGATTCTATTGCGCACAAAATCGAAATATCACATTTAATAGGACGTAAAGTGATTGGTAAATTGTTTGACATTACAGTTAGTATAATAATTAATAAGGTAATTTCTGTCTGTAGTAATACTTATCGTTGAAAATACGTTGAAAAGAAAGCACATATTGATATTGAAACAATAAAATAAATTAGATATACTCTTACAATATTTTAGAATAATGGAATTCAGAATAATGGAATAATTTCGTTGCATATATATTGAATTAAAACTTATTTATAATATAATATAATATTTTCAACTATTTCTTGTTTTCCTAAGTATTTATTTAGTAATGATACCGTTTAATTAAATAGTATGATTGTAATACCTCAACGTCTAAATTATGCCAAACTTTCGTTCGTTAGATTTATTTGCGATTTATATTATCAAACTGTAATTTCAAGAATACTACACGTAGACCTTTGGCATAGATAGATAAATACAAGGATGAATTAGAAATTAAATGGATAATATATAATCTGCAACAGACTGGTAAATAATAATCGAATATTTTATTACTATATATCATTGAATCATTAAGAAATCACGTAATCAGTGATATTCCATATAAAATTTTATGTTATATTGTTTCATAAACATTATATATCTTTTATACTTTATTTATTTATAACACTGGCAAATTTATGATGTAAAAAATTTTTGCCATCTCTTAAAATAAAAATATATATACATTTAGAAATGATTTATTATAAATATATCAAAACATTTTAAACGAACTTGTAACGTTTGCTTATTGCATAATAGGATATTATCATGTAAATTATAGTACAATCGAATTGAAAAACATTGAAATAAATCTTAATTCTGAGAATTATACACGAATATTCATGTTCTCAATTGTGCTTAAATCATTGACCACTCGTTTCATTTTGTAACATTGAGCGAATTCTGGGAACTTATGAGATACTTATAGCGAAAATTAGATTATGTAACATGGTATCCCATGTTTAAAGCTACGGAACGTATGTCATTCGTTATACTATTTAAGGAAAATAGTTACTTCAAGGTAAAAAAATCTTAATTTACGAAAACAAAGATCTGTAACGAAACGCATCCCTCCGCTCCGTTCCCGTTTTACTTTCCTCCGATCGACCATCCGTCGAGGGTCGCCGAACACCAGGCGGAGTGCGGCAGTGGCCGCAGAAAGGCGTTTACGCCTATTTTTTAATTGTACAAATTCGCGAAGTCCGAAACTTCGGAGTTATAGCGTGGGAATACCGCGAATCCACGATTGTTTTCGTGGTATTCCCCCGCGCCGATTTTACTAACATTTTGATGACTGGGATAATATAGTTCACTTTGCAAAGGAAATAATTGCATCTACCGTAACTACATGCGTGAAAATTTAGTCAAAAGAGATACAAAAATTAAATGTACAAGTTACATATGGACATATAATATTGTATTGTAATTTTTATGATCAGCTATTATCATATGTTTACGTTTCACTAGTTCAAAGATATGTGATGTTTAGATTATTCGTATTATACGTTACATATAATGTCCTCTGTAACTATATTTATTTTTACAATAGTCGACACTTAGTCACAAGCTCTCATTGTTGAGATTGAGTGTTGAGTTTCTGTGAAATCGTTCTGAGATCGTCATATTTCGTAAATTATCAATAATTTTGAAATGGTAAATATAATTTCTAATTAAAAAATATATATACTTATAAAATATTTATACTTATAACATATGACATTAGAATAAATTTAATTTAAAAATAAAATAGTAAATTGTTCAACTTAACTTATTACATTATAATCTTCATCATTAACCAACCATTATTATATGTTTAAAGTGAACTAGCGATATGTATTTATTCATTATATTATTTATTATTTTATCACTTATGATCTCATATGATTATTAATGTTTGTTGTAACATTTATTTTATATTACAGATTTTTTTATATTACTTTGTATAAAGACATTATACATAAAGGCAATTAGTTATTAAAACACTTTAGTTATTAAAACACTTTGAAGGCATAATTATATAAGGTAAGTTTAAAACACACACACATACACACACACACACACACACACACACACACACACACACACATACACACATACACACATTAAAAGATTAATACACATTTAACATCGCATATTTAATAATAATGGTGCTTTCCATTTAGTGGCACAAGTCGACAAGTATCATTTTGTCCTTGTTCATCATTGAAAGCCAAGAAAGATAGAACGATATTTGTGTCGACTTTATCATTAAATAGAAAGCATCAGATATAGTGATACATGTCAAAGTTATGAAAAGATTTTCATTTGTTTGTAAATATTTTAATGAGAAACTCTTGCTGATTTTGAGATTTTTAATGGAATTGGACTTTTATGACAATTTTAAACTTCAGCTTTATATTAAAAACATATTTGTCTAAATTTTAAAAAACATTTTTTTTAGAATAAATGTCATGGAATTAATAAAAATGTTATTATTTATGGAAAAAATATTATTATTTATATATGTATATTATCATTTGCCTACAAACTGTCGAGATAATCGAGAGATATCATAATCTTAAATCTATATCTAAGTTCGATCTAAACATGTATCACTATATCTAAATCTAAAAAAAAAAATTTAAATCATGTCGTCGTCGTCGTCGTCGTCAATACATTATTATTAATGTTTTTCAAATTTGTTATAGGAAAATGAATATAATTAAAAAATTAATAATAAATCCACATATCAAATTTTCCAAATTCAAAAATATCATTGAAAAATTTAATAATAGTAAAATAGAAAATGTAAAAGTAGAAGAATTCTACGTAAAAGAAAAAAAAATATTAAAATTAACGATAAATAATTTAAGTTATAAGACCAATGATACAGCATTACAAATACTCCCATTAATCATAATGGGCGAATTTAATTTTCAAATACAAAAACATATTGCTAAGACAGTATTACGTAGAGCTAATATGAAGAATTATCAAATTAAACAAATAGAAATTAATAATTTAATGTCTTATGCGAATGATGTAGAGACTGAAAACCGTATAAATAAATTTTATGACGATATGAGAGGAAAAGGGATAAATATAAAGGATTACAGCAAAGCTTTATATGATCTTCGAACATTGCGGAATGCGGCAGCACATCCCACTTTCAACTTTAATAAAGAAACAGATATATTTTTAAAAAACTCGTTTAAAAAATATTGGGAAACAATAAACATAGAACTTATTTATAAAATCTTCGAAGTAGAATTTAAAAATTTTAAAAAAAAGGCGCCTTACCCAAAATTTACATAATTTATTAAATTTAATAATTAATATAATCTTTCATTTATTTATATTATTATTATTATTATTTATATATATATTGTTATAATTATTATTATTTACATATTATTATTATTATTTTTTATTATTATTATTATTATTATTATTATTATTTATATATTATTTATTTATATTATTATTTATTATTTATTATTTATTATTTATTTATATTATTATTTATTATTTATATTATTATTATTTATTTATTTACATTATTTATATTTTTATTTATATATATTTATTTATTATTTATTATTATATATATTTTTATTTATTATTTATTTATATTATTTATATCTTTTATTGATTCTCTGGCACGGATTTCTCTCGCTATTGTCGTGTGATTCTCATGCGATCATCATATAATCGTAGCGTCGTTTGCAAAAATTCTCGTGCGTGTTTTTTGAAATTTGTCACTACTGCACAATTTAAACTTTCATTCTGTAATACCTCGAAAACAATGTATTGTAAAAAAAATGTTTTATAAATAAAAGTTGTAGGAT